AAAACCCGGTTATGTATAATTTTTTTTTTTTTTTTTTTTTTTTTTCTGGACACATTTTAGGTTCTTTCCAGTCTCACATGAAACAGACCAGACCTCCCCAAGGCATCTTCCACTTCCTGCACTGAAGTTGACCCAGGAAAGTCAAATTAAGAGTCCTTTTTCCTGGTATATCCACTCTCACATCCTGCATTAGGTAGCATGATGGAAGTCAAGGCTCAGAAAGTCAAGGCACAAATTCTCATGTGTTGATCAGTACATGGGAAGATGAACTTTGCTGTGGCCTCTACCACGTGGGATTTGATAAAAATACTACTTCTGCATGTTTCTGAATTAAACAATGTAATTGTCAGTTATTCATCTACTAGCTAAGGGTGTTTCAGGCACCTAAGTTGTGAAGATCTTTCACAAAAAAGGCAGTAGTAATTTAATTTTAGAGTCTCCATCAAAATCACTTCCAGGTGGGAAAGCATGGTGGGTAATGAGCCAAAGAGAACACAAATTGCACAGAAGATGAGAAATAATGACCACTGAGGAGATTCCCTGTGCAGGGACACACAAAAAAGGGGGAAGGCAGGAGGGTATTTGTGTTATTTCATTCTTCAGGATATGATTCCACTGGATTAGGCTGTCTGCAGGTACTCCTTAAACAGTATGTTGAGCATCTAGTCACCTAAAAATCCTGTCTTCCTTCTCCAGAGAAGAGAAATTCTGGGGATTTCTCTTATTCTCTACCCATGCAAATAGTCAAAGCTCAGGACTTCCCTGAAGTGCTGTATCTTTTTGGCACTTGCAGACTTGGGCTCCTTTTGATGAATAGGTGTCTATAACAACCCAGAGAAAACAGGAACCATTCCCTACGGTGAGGTCACTGTATCAGTCATTCACCAGGAAAACTGCAGCAGTTCACCCTGCAGTGAGAATCAGAAATCACCCCTTCTCGTTTCCATTTGGAGCACCATCTTCCATAGTGATGGTAGAGACTTCTTGGAGCCTGCAAAGCAGACAAACCCAAGAAGTTTCATGGGTTACTGTCACAGAAAGGTCTGTAAGAAAGTAAAGGTGAACACCAGGCTAGTTAAAAAAGCTGAGCTGGCTTTAACTGAAGAAAAAACAAAAAAAACCAGTTTGCTCTGGACAACAAAGGGCAGGAAGTGGATAGTGGAGAAAAGGAGGTGTAAAGAATTTTTGTACAGCTGACTGTTCCCCAAGACATAATCATCTGTCTCAGAATCACTTCATCCTTAGTCACTGGTGCAGAAGATGAAGTGAATTTTACATGTCATTGGTAACAGTTCTTTTACCTAATCCTCTCAGGGGACTCTACATGAGGCACCCACACAAAACACAATTCTCCATCCAAAGGGAGAAACAATGATTTCCCCGAGCACTGAGGAGAGGGGGAGAGATCTCCCAGTGGAAGTGTTTGGCCCAGCTATCCAGATTAAACAACCAGCACTAGTTTTGTTTGGTTTTTCCACACCTCCAATTACTGTATTAGGAAAACAATTAGAATCCTCATGCACTGTAAAGAATAGGCTGATTGAGATTTTTTCCAAGCACACAAGTGAGTTTTCAGTCTCTGTAAGTCTGTTACACTTCCACTAGAGGCATTTAAGGAAGTGCAAACTTTATAATTCAAAGTAAGGATTGTTCAGAACGGAATGGATTCCTTTTAGCTAAAGGATCATGCTAAAGAGTAAAATTCTGATTCTGGAAAGAGCGTGACTGGAGCCTTTTATAGGTTATCTTTTGTTACTTTTATATATATATTTTTTGCCTATGTATCTTTTGTCTGTAGAATCATGGGATGGTTGTGTTGGAAGGGATCCTAAAGGTCATTACCTTCACCTCCTGCCATGGGCAGGACACCTTGCACTACCCCAGGTTTTTCAGATCCCATCCAACCTGACCTGGAAAATTTCCTGGGATGGGACAGCCACAGCTTCTCTGGGCACCCTGTGCCAGAGCCTCACCACCCTCATAGCAAAGAACTTTTTCCTAATACCCAATCTAAACCTACTCCCTGTCAGTTTGAAGCCATTTCTCCTTGTTCTATCACTCCAGGCTCTTGTAAAATACACATGAATGGAAATTTTTTTGTTGATGGCCAAGGAGGGATTCTCGTTTTAAAGATGCCAACCTTTATAATACTTCAATGACTGTCCCAAAATTTGGGTTGTTTATTTTTACTAGCATTAGATAATTATGCCATAAATTTATCTCATAAATTTAGGTTCAGGAAAAAAATAACTTCTAAAAATTCTGTATGTTATAATTTTGAAGCCACCTGAAGTACTGGTTTTGAAAGCAAATATTCAACTTCTTTTAAAAGCAATAATTAAAAGTACACTGGCTGGTTCAAATCTGCACAGGACCCTCTGGTTAATTTGGGCTTCAAATGGTGTTTAGTTTTGTGATCACTGAGTTAAATTTAACTCTTCCTCTATTCCTTTTTTTTTTTTTTTTTTAATATTCACTTACAGAACTTCTCACTCAACAAATTTAAGTGGATACATAAATGCTTGTAAGATGGAGCCCCATTTCTCATAAGTTTCCATTTGACTGGACTACCCAGCTCCTTGGTCCCTAAACACCAAATGTTCTCTCACTCTCTTTTTTTTATCTGGTGGTTTTGTTGTTTTGGGGTTTTTTTCCTAATTCTTACAAATATTCTGTAGAAATACAAGGAAGTCATAAGTTCCTCTAACAGGAATTTCAATGCTTTTTCACATAACCTGTTTTGTTACAGTTCTGGGAGACAACACTGAAAAATCTGTTTACTAACCTGAATACTGTCTTTGGTGACAGTTCCATTTTATCTTGTGTTCCAGAGCTAACAGTACCAAAAAATGTCAGCAAATTATTCTTATTTTTAAGTAGTTCTGTAAGCACACTAATTTTTATGCTTTCTGATTTTGTGATTTATAAAAGTAAGTATGTATAAAAGTGGGCAACTTTTTTTCCTAGGAAATAGGACAGATATTTTCAAAGCATTTTTTCCTAATAAGACTAACAAAATGAGTTCTGCTTAAACAGCTGAGAAACAGAAATGTAGGCTGAAAGTGAATTTTAACTAGTGTCTTCCAAGGAAAATCATCAAATCTATGAGAGTAAGTGAAGCTAAGAATGAATACTTGTTCTACTGATTAGCCAAAAAAAAAAAAAAAAATCATTGAAACAATTCTCACTTGACATGTAATGCACACAATCAAAGGTACAGGCTCATTAATAACTTATTAATGACAATCCCCCTCTGAGCCATATTGGGAACTTTCTTTTAGAGTGAAAAAAATGTAATACAAAGTCTTAATATTCAAGAAACAAATTTGATTTGGAATTAAATTATTACAGTTAGGTAAGCGCCTAAGATGCAAATAAGCATTTAGTGGGATTTTCAAAGATTGTTTACCTTAATGTGCCTGCATCCAAAATTTCTTCAGCTACCTCTACAGTGCTCAGCTTCTAGTGTTAAAC